TGGTTAGAGATGCAGAACCTCAGGCCCCGCCCACCTTGGAACTGGTTAGAGATGCAGAGCCTCAGGCCCCGCCCACCTGGGAGCTGGTTAGAGATGCAGAGCCTCAGCCCAGCCCAGACCTTCTGAATCCCACTCTGCGGGTAATGAGACCCCCTGGTGATTCAGTGCACATTTGGGTTTGAGAAGGGCTCACTAGCTGACTCCTGGCCTCCTAAGTTCTGCTGCCTTGTGTTTACAGCGCAAGGCAAGTCCCTACACACTCCACCTGTTGTTCTTTCACCTCCAGTCGAAGTCTAATAGTGCGTCTATGTGAATTGATAGGTTCTTCGTAAAAATTAGTACTTTATGGAAAGTTTTAAAAATTAGGCTAATCGTTTTGAAAGGCAAATAAGGTCTGATTATCTCTCAAGCTATCAGATGGCATGGTAATAGTTTCCGTTTATTGAGCCCTTACTATGTGACAGGCGCTCTCTTCAACACTCACAGTGTTTTATCTCCTTCACATGGAGATTAACATGACTGAAAAGTTAGGTCACCACACAGTAAGCAGTGGAACTGCGGTTCAGAGGTCTCATTTAAAGCCACATTTTTGGGGCCGGCCCCGTGGCGTCTGGCAGCCCGGGTTTGGTTCCCGGGCGCGCACCAGCACACCGCGTGTCAGGCCATGCTGTGGCGGCGTCCCATATAAAGTGGAGGAAGATGGGCACGGATGTTAGCCCAGAGCCAGTCTTCCTCAGCAAAAAGAGGAGGATTGGCATGGATGTTAGCTCAGGGCTGATCTTCCTCACAAAAAAAATAAATAAATAAAGCTACGTTCTTAGCCACGTGTCACCTGTGGGACATGGGAAATCCCATATGGAAGGAGTTGGGTTGGAGGTGCCTGGGTCACCCCCACCCCCACCCTCATCCCTCCAGGCCTCAGCTCAGGCACATCTCCTCTGATTTACTCACCACCGCATCCCTTGCACCGGACGATCACTGGCACCCAGCAGGGGCTCGGTATATACCTGAGTGAAGGCCCGCCTGGGCACTGGGACTCCCGGGTCCATTCCTGGCTCTGTGTAATTACCAAGAAGTGCTTTTCTTTATCCTCTGCCCTCTACCGTCCGTGCACTGTCATAAGTGAGGACGTTGGACTGTGTTATTCTTCCGAAAGCTCTTCCTGCTCTGTGACGATCAGTGTAACTGTGATCCTTTGTTTTAATGAACGCGAAATGTCTCTGCTTCTGTGTGTTCAGTTTGGAAGTGAAGCAGCTACTTCAGACAAAGGCTGACTTGCAGAAGGAGCTGGAAAATGTGAAGGAAGGTGAGAAGGAGAGAAGAGAAAGAGAGGAGGCTTTGAGGTAAGTGAACTAAGAGTCAGAGTTTTTCAAGAGAATACGTGCAATTCCCAGCTCTTCCCGCTGCCACGTGCGACCCCTCCCCCATCTGTTCTCAGCACAGCCTCCAGAGTGGTTTTTATAAAACTCCAGCCTGATTAAGTCACTCCTCTTCCTGATGTCTTTCAGTGGTTTTCTGTTTCCTACAGAGTAAAAATCCAAACTCTAGAAGAATGTTCTTCATAATTAGGCCAATGTTTGTCTCTTTGCCATTATGGCCAACTCCCCTGCATGCATCCTCCACGCCAGCCATGTCCACCATCGGCAGTCTCAGAGTGTGCCGTGATTCCACACCTCTGGTCCAGATTCAACCCAGGTGTCCATTCCCTCCTCGGGGTGGTTGCCTCCCACGCTCCTTCGTAATGTCATCGTTGACGATAGCCAAAAAGTGGAAACAACCCAAATGTCCATCAGCTAATGAATAGATAAAAACACTGAAGTATAGTCATACAAAGGAATGAAAAGGAATGTGGGGGAACCTCAAAAACATTATGCTCAGTGAAAGAAGCAGACAGCAAAGGCCACCCAGTATGTGATACTGAGATGTCCAGAATAGAGAAAGAAAGTAGATTAGTGGCTGCCAGGGGCTAGGGGAGGGGAATTGGGGAGTGACTGACAGATATGAGCTTCTTTTTGGGGTGATAGAAATATTCTGGTATTAGATGGTGGTGATGGTTGCACGTGTTGTGGATATACTAAAAACCACTTAATCGTTTACTTTAAAATAGTGAATTTTATGTTATATGAATTTTCTGTCAATAAAAAAGTGCCCAAAATAGTAGATCAGAAATCTGAGCAGAAATATTTAGCACTCAGGATAATTAGTAAGAAACACGTTACTAAAATGAATGTTATTTTCAGGAAAAATGTGACTAGATTTTGTCAGAAGGCTAGAATTAAAGTAAATCAGACAGGCAAGTACACAGTGAAGAATTCTTTTTACTTTGGCTTTAAAATCTGTAGCAAGGACATAAGTTGTTTCCTTCCATTTACATTGTTTATTGAAAGCCCCAAATGATACCTCCCTGCTTATCACTCATGCGCTCAGTCTATTTTCTGTTCTTACCAGGTGCCAGAGTGGCGCTAGGCCCTGGGAACCCTCCGTCCCTGCCCTCAGGGAGCTCCCAGGCCAGGCAAGGGGACAAGAGACTGCACCGTCCTGCAATGTGGTCTCTGCTGCTGTCCCTAGGTGCAGTTGGGTGGGAGCCGGGTGCCCACACTGCTCTCGGAGAGGTGTCCTTGTGGCTCTGTAGGCTGCCATCCCCGCTGTCACATACAGACGTCTCATACTGCTTGACAAGTAAGGTGTCATCTTTCCCTTCCCACTTTAGAGAGGAAATTCAGACACTTACCAAGAAGTTTCAAGAACTGGAAGAACTTAAGAAAGAAGAGACAGGTGACCCCGTGGAAAGGACTCCTGAGGTATGGTTGGGGTGTTTTCGATCTGTTCAGGCGTGGTGGGAGTCAGCCTAGACATGAGGGTGCTGATGGTTTACATACCCGGAGCTTTTCCTGACTCCAGCGTTGACAGTCCAGTTTCCTTTTATCATCACAGTTGGTTTCTATGAATTGTGTGTATTGAATCCCAGAGTTCTGGACTAATTGATTGTCAGTTAATTGACTTCAAACTAGTATTCACATCTTGGATATTTAAGCTGTTGAGTGAAGATCTTCCTAAAACGTCAAGTATGCAGAAAGTTTATCCACCAAGGGGTTGTCCATTAGAAGGTGAGAAAGAGTTTGAGAAGGCCTTGGAGGGAAGGAATGAACACTCAGCAAGGACTTCCTGTACCCAGCCCTGTGTGTTGGGAGAGTATGACGCTGACACAGGCCTGGCAGGGTAGTGCTCGCTGTGGCAGGGCACATCTTCTCCTTGTGCCCTCCGCATCTGCCACTGAGCTTCACACGAGTTTAGGTGTTGAATGACAATTTGGTGAACGGCAGGTTCCCTCTGCAGGACCTGTCGGCAGGTAAGAAGTGAGTCTAGGCAGACCGTCCTCCTGTCCCTGTTCCCTTGCTCCCTCCGTTTATGTGGACGTGAAGGTGGTCTTTGTAGCCGGCAGGGGTTCCTCTGGCACCTTCTTGGAGCCAGGGGAGCGCTCTGATGCCCGTTGGCCCAGTGCTATCTGCACTTGGATTTCTAGTGGCTGGAATGCACCTCCTCACTAGTCCTTTTTTCCTTTAATGGATTCTTCAGATGGCAGAGATAATTGATATCTGTTAACACAAAAAACAACAGAAGTTTTAAAATCCCCTGGCTGCAGTTTGCTCCAAGAGGAGCCCATCTGTAGATGTGTCATAGATAAAACCAGCTTGGTCTGGGATGTGTCCGAAATGAGCACGTGTGAGAGGTTAGTGGAGTTTATACAGCAGCCTCTTTGCGATCCCTTTTCTATGGCCCTCTTTCTGTCGATAAAGATTGGAGTCGTACCTGGGGAATCCACCAGGATGGCGGGTCTTTACCCTCCACGTGTTTTAGCCGAGAAGTCCTGTTGCTTCAGAAAGCAACTTACAGTTTCTGCTGTTTCTTGCTGTAGCAAGTGGCATGACAGAGACTGTTCCCGGCCACCAGGAGGAGGGAGCTTACAGGCTGAAGGGTTGAGGTGTCTGCTGATGGTTGAAAGTAAAAGTGTTTTGTGTTTTTTAACTCTGGACTGGCTTCCCTCTTCCAGGGCGGGCTTGTTCAGCTGGAGTCTTAATTTTAAGGCCTGTTCTTTTAGCGTGACACCACATGTCCTTCAGCTGTAGTACAAGTGGGAAAAAGAAAAGAGCTAAAAGGGAATTTGGAGAAGCTGAGGAGCACATCTCTAGTCACAAATCGAGACAAACCACAGCGCTGCCGACTAGGCAAAAGGAAGGGGGTTCTCGTGGTGCGTGCTCGCTGGAGCCCCAGAGGTTGTACAGTGGCCCTGATCCCAACGTGTCCTGCTGGCCAAGTGTGAGGACTGGACAATGTGAGTCCATCTCAGTCCCCTTGGAAAACTACTTTTGTTGTTCAGTAAAGTATACTTTTTGTGTTATCCAAGCAGCTGCATTTCCGTGGCGGTTTTTCCGGTGTTGTGGATGATGTCCTGAGTCCTGCAGAGTCACTGTCCGGGTGTCTGCATGACAGTCACTTTTCAGGAGACCCCCTGCTTACCGGCGTGCTTGCGCTGTCTGCCCCAGGTGGACACGACACCGGGGTGGTGTTCCTGCCCCACTGACTGCATGGGCGTGTCCCGTGGCAGAGCTGTGCTGTGTGTCTGCTCTAGGGGCCACATCCCTTTCGCGGGTGTATAGTCTCCCTTCCAAGGGGGCGCTCACGCGGCACGGGAATGGCGGGCTCACTGGCTGTGACTTGTCTACTTCAGGTGACCCCTGGGAGGCACTCGACACAAGTACAGGCAGATGTTTCTGCTGATTTTTAAAGCTTTCCACTCAAAGTCATATATCCCTTAGGGAGAAAAAATATCTTCCACATCCAACAGAATTGGAAATAATGGCTTTGTGTATGGAATTCATCTGGTTCTTGAAGACTCCGCTGTCTCTTTGGCCTGCTCAGGTTTTCTGCAGACCCTCAAAATGGAAGAAAAACAAGTTTGTCCCATTGTCTTATCAGCGTGGTGAGTTGGAGACAGGGAAAAGGTCATCTTAGCACTGATTTCCTCCTTGTGCACTAACTGGACGCAAATCAAATCAGGAAGATGACCTGGGTGTCGGCTCCTCTTCCCCTCTAGTCCCACACGCTGACTGTCTAGGAAGGACCCAGCATGGTGCTGCGGGGGCACCTCCTTTCTTTGAGCACTATTACCATGGGGTTTGCTGCTTTCTCTGTTAATTTCAGAAATTTGGGATTTAAATCCTCCACTGACTCAGTGCAAGGCAGAGTGGCATGTCCATAGAGACCCCTGATAAGAATTCTTTCTTCAAGGAGTTACATCCTTATCAGTTCCTCCATTTCTCCTGAGGGAGGCATTAGGAGATTTGCTTGGTGTCAAAGTTATACTTAGTGTTTATTTTGGTATCTTATTATACAACCTTGAGATTTTGTGTCCCTGTAGATGACAGGAACAAATCTTGGAACCCAGGTTTCCAACTGTTCGTTCAAAGAGTGGGCCAAAGGAAGTAAGCCGTGCTCTCTGCAAGGCTCTCAGTACAGGGGCCTTCACTGCAGCCTTGCTCATGGCAGGGAAGACGCGGCTGCTATGGGGGCCATAGATAGGAGACCGATGAGTTCGTGGTGGTGCATCGTCACTGGAACATTACAGCCACTACAGAGGGTAAAATGGATCTCTACTGACTGACTGGGAAAGATGCCCATGACCGATTGTTTGATGGAAACAAATCCCTCTTCCCCCCAAGAAGTTTATAGCGTTGATCCCCTTTTATCAGACAAAAACTTATGTGGAAAAATGTCTGGAAGGATTACCAAAATGTGGCTGTTTCTGTGTGGTGGGATCCTGAGTGCTTTTGTACTTTTGTTTAGTATTGTCTGAATTTTTTTTAATAAGCGTGTATTAACTTTGAGTTTTTTCCTGCTTGAAAAGCATTTCCATTTTAAAGAAAAAGAAGAATGGGATTAATTGGGAAGAGTTGGTGTTCTTCTAAATAGGGGAGTCGGTGCTTAGCATTCGGATGTGAATGATTAATTATAGGTTTAAATGGAGTGATCTGAGTCGGTTTTTTAACAGTTGCTTCAAGGAATTTATATGTATATCAAAATTTAAAATGCTGTCAGCTATCTGCCATGAGTGGTTTGAGTCAACGTTCCTTTATCTGCTAAGTAACGGATTTTACCTCTTTGCTCCCAGTGGCACAGGCCACATGGTGACTGGTTACCTGGCCACAGTGGGCAGGTCTGGGGACGTGTCAGGATTGGGGGAAGGAGTCAAGGCCCTTCTTAGGGTAACAGGGTCGGAACGTCAAGGCTGATGCCAGGAATCTTGGTGGGAAGTAACTCTGTGAGCACCCTGATGGGATTGGTGACAGCGGCTGATCCGCTTGGGGACATTGTGGCCTCGTGGGTGGGCAGGCCGCCTGGGCCAGGCGTCTTGGGCTTGTGATAGTTTCAGAGTTGAATAGGGTATGGACTTCTAACAGTCTTGTGTCTCTCTGTGAGGGCTTTTTCCAGCAACGTGTCTCCACTGAGCTTGCAATTCTGAGAAAAATAGTCAAATATTTTGATTTTTATTGAGAGGTACTTATAGATAATAAATTTGGTCCCTTAAGTGGTAGAAATCAGTGTTATTTTGATGGTCACAATAGCAATTCTTGCTTCTTTCTACCTTAAAAATCAAGCTAGACATCTGTCGTCTTTATCCCGGAAGTCCTGTTTTTGTGATACATTGTTAGACTAAAAGAAGGACAACAAAAGGACCCCCGGAGAGCAGATAATTCTTGCAATAATGTACAGATGTCATGAGCTTAGGAAGGGTATGACAGTCACTCGAGCAAGCTGCCTCTTGGACTCCGTAGCCGATGTCCCCTCTCCTTCCGGGACAGTGCTGCCCAGACAGTCTAGGGCAGTTCCTGAAGACTGGGGGTCGCTCTGTGGACCAGCGTGTATGTGGTTTCTCCAGAGGTTTCTGTCGTGTGACATACTGAACCGTGTGGGTGCAGATTGACCCTCTAAATGAAAAGGCTGGTCTGATAAGCATAGCCCGAATCACGAATAATATCCTGCCGCCTTACCTGATACCATCTTCCCTGCCCGACTCAGTCGTCCTTTACGCCTCAAATTTCCTGCAGACCCGAGAAGAGCCCCGACCTTGCCATGCCACCAGCAGTCCCTCTCAGCAGGACTCTGAGCCCGATGCAAGTGAGGAGGGCTCCTCCCGGCCCCCCTCCACCGGATCTGAGGGGAGAAGAGATGCAGCTGCCAGGATCCTGCAGACCCGGTGGAAGGTGTGCAGACACCAGGTGAGGGGCCTGAGAAGACCCTGCTGCTGGTCGGCACCACCGAGGGGCACAGACGCAGTCATTGTTCCAACTGCAGAAGCCACTTTGTGGTTCATATACTCATCTGGCAGGCAGTTATTCAGTCCCTCTGATGTGCAGGCTCCGTGCTATATGCAGCTGACATGTAGGAAAATGTAGGCCCCAATAGACACAGCTGAAAATCACGTAATGTGGGGATAAGGGGGAGACAGAAATACCCTCACCGGGAACCACAGTGGAGGGAAGGCTGGGTCCTGCTGGGAAGGAAAGGGAAGGTTCACCTTTCAGCTTGCCCTTGAAGGAGGAGCAGGTTCCAGTGTCAGATGGAGGAAGGCAGTGGTTTTTCCAGAAGCCTTTGTTAGCTCACTGATCCATTGCACACAGCAGCGGGGTGCTGGGTCCCAGGGAGACTGGCGGGGTGCAGCCCTGACTGTACCCTCAGAACACTCGCCTGTCCCCCCTGAGCATGGGGTCGAGCTTAGGAGTCTTCCGTGAGGCGGAGTGAATAGCTTGAAACCACTGTGGAAATTCATGCCCCCAGAGCAGCCCCTTTTCTGGGGCTCCCCGGGAGGAAGCAGCTTGGGGTGCAGTCTATTTTATTAGAAATTTGAAAAACCTGCCTTGATGGACTGCTCCTCAGAGGACACCGACTGTAGGTAATGGGACAGGAAGGCTGCCCCCTGAGGTGGGCATGCCTGTCTCACACCCAGGGGGACAGAGGAGCTGTGACTGTGCCAGGTTCCTTGTGCTTGAGGTGAAGTGTGGTGACGGATGAGGAGCTTGGGACGTGAAGTGGGGTGACAGATGAGGAGCCCCGGGGGTGAAGTGGGGTGACGGATGAGGAGCCCGGGGGGTGAAGTGGGGTAACGGATGAGGAGCCCAGGGGGTGAAGTGGGGTGACAGATGAGGAGCCCAGAGGGTGAAGTGGGGTGATGGATGAGGAGCCCGGGGGGTGAAGTGAGGTGAGGAGCTGGGGAACTGGGTGAAGTTCCAATCAAAGCATCGTATTTGGTTGTTTAAGTCTTCTTAGTGTGGTTTACTTCAGTCCCCCACATTTTTTTCTTTCAAAAGACATCTTTTGAAGAGTGCAGGCCAGTGTTTTACAGAATGTCTCACATCCTGGATCTGTCTGATTGTTTCCTCGTGGTGTCCTTTAACTTGTTCCTCTGTCCCCTTTATTTCCTGTAAGTGGGAAGTTAGGGCTACAGCCTTGATTAGATTCAGGTTCAACGTTTTTGGCATGAATATCTCATAGGTAATGCCGTGTGTGTCACCTCACTCACTTCAAGATGCGAGGAAGACCAGGTAGTCCTCCATTTGTGTTTCTGATTTTGGTCACTGGTTAATTTTGTGACTGCTGGCTTTTGCCATTGTAAAGAAACATTTTCCCTTGATAATTAACCAGTCATCTCCAGAGTGAGAGTTTGGCCCTCTGTGAATGTCTGGTCCCCACCACTTATCACCTAATGGCGTTAGCATCCTTTACTCATCTTACCCCAGTTGGTCATTCCAGATGATTGTGGAAGGGTGAATTTTTTCAAATTCCATCCCTCTACTTAATAGCTGGCACTCTTCTTTATCAGCTGGTCAGCTGGGCATAAGCTCCAGGTCCTCCTAAAAAGGCAGATTAAATGCTTAGTTATTTTCTTTCCAGTACTAGGTGAGTAAGGGATTTTTCTGGTAGTCACTCCAGTGGAGACAAGCGAGTTTCTCTCTCAGGGGTAGGAGTGTTACTGTGGACTTAAAAAAATTTTTTTTTTGTGAGGAAGATCAGCCCTGAGCTAACATCCATGCTAATCCTCCTCTTTTTTGCTGAGGAAGACCAGCTCTGAGCTAACATCTATTGCCAATCCTCCTCCTTTTTTCCCCCCCCAAAGCCCCAGTAAATAGTAGTATGTCGTAGTTGCACATCCTTCTAGTTGCTGTATGTGGGACGCGGCCTCAGCATGGCCGGAGAAGCGGTGCGTCGGTGCGCTCCTGGGATCCGAACCTGGGCCGCCAGTAGCGGAGCGCGCGCACTTAACCGCTAAGCCACGGGGCCGGCCCCTAAAATTTTTTACTTATTCAATATTTTAAAATTAAGTACTGTCATTATTCTTTTTAATGTTCAGCTTGTCCCGAATTTGGCCAGTGGGAGCCCTTGGGTGTGGCTCCTGTGCCTTCCGCCTTGTTGGCGCCTTGATGTTCTGGCACGAGGTGTCCCCTCCCCTGTGCTGTCCTCACGCCAGTGCTGGAACTCACCATCGTGAGCCAGTGGTTTCTTGAGAAGCAGCTTATCTTTTTATACACTTCTTTCTCCTCTCCCCTTTCTTCTGATCAGTCCTTTGCTTAGTTACAAAGATAATACGTGAAACAGGTGCTGTGAGAGCCCTGTGCTAGCCCAATCTCCCCATCCAGTCGTCAGGGCCTTTCCCCCACTGGCTTCTGCTGCTCTCTCCCCTTCAGGAGCTGTAGCATGCTGGCTTCTTGGCTCTTGTGAATTGAGTCCCTTCTAAGTTCGTTTCTGGATTCTGCTTTCAAAGAACTCAAAAAATCAAATACATAGACCTCTAGGAAGATATTTGAGAATAAAGCATTTGAAAGGGCGCTTGATTAGAAATCAGGATCCTTGGGCTTGAGTCTGGGGTCTGTTGGTTTCCTCCGTCTGCTCCTCTCGGATTCACGGCGGGGGTCAAGGAGGATGCCTGGAACCACGGTGAGGAAGACTGAACTCTCCTGGAGTTCCCTCCATCTGTTACAGTCATTCCACAGCACAGCTGAAGCTTGACCTGAGCTGCAGGCTGCCCTTGACACCAGCCCTTCAGTGAGCTGATGCCCAGCACGCAGTGATTCCGAAAGTCGATTCTCTGAGTGACACGCTCCATCTTCTCCATCTTTCTCAGGTCACCACACATCTCCACTCTCAGCTTGGCTCTTCAGGCTCTGTAGTTGGACTTGCCATTCCCCAGCCCACCCCAAGTCCTGGCCCGTCTTGTCCTCGTCTGCTGTCTCAGACTGTCTTTGCCACAGCCTTTATCGTTACTTTCATTAAACCTATATTTCTTTTGCTTCTTTTTTATATCCTGCTGGTCCTTGTACTCGGTTTTTCCTTAATCTGTCAAGGGACAAGTCCTTTTCCTCTGACAGCTTTGGGCCTTGCTCTCTGATTACTACTGGAAATCGGCTGGCTGATGTACATGCCGTCTAGTTGTGGTCATTAGCCACTCAGTGCACGTGTATATTCTTGGAGTTTGCACATTGGAGGGACCTGGGCTTCACTTACATCTATAGAAATACAGATTCTTGGGTCGCATCTGCAATGATTCTGATTCATCATATCTTGGGTGCAGCTGACTCAAGTCCCCTGGTGATTTTGATGACTGGTCAGATTTGGGAGCCAGTGACCCAGACCTCTGAACGGGGCCCCCTTTGTAACATCACCAGCAGGCCGTGTCCAGCCATTCTGTGATCATCCATAGAGGCACCTGTGTCAGGACAGCTCTAGCTGGGAGAAGGGGCTTTCTCTTCAGAGCTGGTCCTCGTGAGTCACTTCTTTGCAGCACAGCTGGCCAAGAGCCGCTGCCAACTCCAACATGCCCTCATCTCTAACCGTGCTTTGCCCTGGGAACGTTTGCCGTCCTAATTATGGCTGCTTGCCTCCTTGTATTGCAAATGTGTCTGGCTCCCTTGCCTTGGCCAGGACTGGAGGACTCAGCGCCTCCTGGGGTGTGGCGGTGGGGAGGGTGCTCTCAGTGAGGGGAGTGTCCCGGTACCCCAACTCTGCTTTTCTGTCCTGTTGACTGTGGCAGGGGCGGGATCAACAAATGAATGCTGTATTGTGAAAAATTCATCCTCACGTTAATTCATCATTTATCTCTTTATTTCAGAAAAAAAAGGCTGTTCTGGATGAGGTAAGCAAGGTTTATTTCACCAATTTCAAAATATGTATTTTTACTTTGGAGAGAAGTGACTGTGTAGATATTTCAAGAAATGTCATTAAGTACTTGTATTCATGAAATCAGACCAGACCCCAACATTAAGTTTAAAATACATAAGTGATATTAACATAAAATAAATATTTGGGTAAATTTCACACTTTCAAAATTCATTCAATCATTCATTCATTCTTTCAGCGTGCTTACTGATCATCAGTTCTGTGTCAGGCAACCAGGTGAGCTCTCGGGACACAGAGAGACATGGAGACAAGTCATCACAGTTCAGGGTGGATGGTGTGATTTGGGGCTGCAGCCCTGGCGCTGTGGGGCTGCCAGTCCAGCTCTGCTTTTGTGAAGGCCTGGAAGGTCCCTACAGGGGGTGACATTCAAGCTGGGCCTTGAGAATGAGTAGGAACTCACTGGACCGAGAAGTGAGAGAAACGGCATTCTAGGCAGAAAGTAGAGCCTGGGGCCTGCAAAAGATGTGGCTTGCTTGGGAAGAATGTGGGAGCGAGACCAGAAATGGAGTCAGAGTGGACAGCAGGATGTGTTGTAAATGGCAAAGAGCTAGTGGCGTTTGGAACAGTGCAGATGGAAGCTGCTAGACTATAGCAGTAACCTCCTCGCTGATCCTCTTGCTTCTGCTCCCTCGCATGGCCTCTTCCCCATGCAGCCACCAGGTGACTTCCTCTCACACTAGGAGCAAAACCCAAAGTTGTTCCCCAAAGACGGGACATGCCATGCTCCCTGGCTCCCCTGCAGGCCTGCCCAGTGCGGAGGCCCCTCTGCACTCCTGAAAGTATCAAGTCTATTCCTGCCTCTGCTGAGAGGCTCTTCGTCCCGATATTTCATATCTGCCCCTCACTGTACTCAGGTCTCTGCTGGAACAGTTCGTCCTCAGAATCCCCTTCTCTGAACACCCCTTACCACCTATCTCTCTCCAGCCCCATATCCTGCTTTATTTTCTTCATAGCATTTATTTGTTTTTTTTTAAATAATTTTATTTATTTATTTTTTTTCCCCAAAGCCCCAGTAGATAGTTGTATGTCATAGCTGCACATCCTTCTAGTTGCTGTATGTGGGACGCGGCCTCAGCATGGCCGGAGAAGCCATGCATCAGTGCGCGCCCGGGATCCGAACCCGGGCCGCCAGCAGCGGAGCGTGTGAACTTAACCGCTAACCCAGGGGGCTGGCCCTCTTCATAGCATTTAGCTCTACCTGGTATTTTCCTTTTCATTTTTTTAATTACTTGTCTCTTCTATCAGAATGTAAGTCCAGCAGGGGCCAGCTCTGTCTTTTTGCTGCTCCATCTCTGGTTCTTAGATTGTCCTGGCGGGTGGCAGGCATTCAGTAAATATTTAGTAAGTAAGTGAATGAACAACTTTGAGACTTCTCGGAGGACTCACAGTGTGTTTATAGACCAGCCAGCACGTGCTGTCAACCACGGTCTGCCTTCTGTCTCCCGGGACTCCATCCCTAGTCCTTGCTTTCCTCATCTCTAAAGTCACGATGATGAAAGACCTACTGTGCAGGGCTGCTGTGAGGGTAAGTGTGACAGTGTGGGCAGTGTGTGGCACGAAGGATGCTCCGTCCCTCTCTGTCATGCTTCAGTTGGTGTAATGTCAGCAGCCATCACCCCTCCAGCTGATATAGCAGTTTTACTGTCATCTGAGCGTCATGAACCTTCTGGGTTAGTCTAATAGCCACCTGCTTTTAGTGGTGATTAAGTGCCCTTGATAACGGATCTTCACACACCTTGGTTTGTTGTACTTGTTTCTTAACCCCTCATTCGTGACATTTCCTTCACCTTACCTTCAAGAAAAAACAAAGATATGACTGTGATTGTGGAAGCCTGTAGACTTCTAAACGCATGTCATATCAAGGCTCAATATGCTCACGTGCCCTTCTCCTAAAGTTACAAGAGCTGTGGTATTTGTAACCCGGGCCAGAGGCAGGATCGTTCAAATAGAAGTGCTACCCCTCAAATCCAGAACATTGATTTCAGAACTTATAGAGCATCCATGCATATTCCTTAGGAAAGTCATTTAAGATTAAGGTCAAAGGATAAATAATTCCTCTTCAATGGTTTGAGATCATGCTCTCCCCTACTTGATTTTTAGAAGATGTATATGGAAAGTATATGAAATGGAATAAAGTATCCCAACATTAATTCACACAACTGTGTGTAAATTATGGACTAATATTAGCAGCTAAACTTAATAGCACTTAACAGACGATTCGTTTATATTCCCACACAGTTTACTGTGGGATCGAGCATCTGTGCCTTTTTCTTCCGAGAGGATTGGTTTATTTCTTGCTGTAGGAGATTCTGGGTGAGTGAGAGAGAGAGAGGTTCTTTTAGATACTCGTGATTATGCAGTTGTATGGGTAGTTATTGTCTCTACTGTTAGAGCTCTAGAGAGTCTTAAAATGAATGTCTGGTCATTCTCAGAGGAGGGAGCTGATATAGAAAGCTTGTGTCTTTATTAGATTTTTAAGCTTATGTCCTCATTGCAAGATGGACATGCTACCTGAGGTCCCAGCACCTCAAAGCAATGTGGCCCCTGAAGCTACATCCGTCTGGAGCTGCACAGAAGCACCACTGCTTGGTCTGAAGGTGCACGTGGTTGACAGCACGTGCTGGCTGGTCCCTCTGGAATCTCCCTTCATCTGTACCTGCCATGGTCCAGGAAATTAACACCCGTTTTTCCCCCTCTCTTCCCCTACTAGGCGGCTGTTGTGCTTCAGGCAGCATTCAGGGGACATCTAGCGCGGGCAAAGCTCTTGTCAAGCAAACCGCGTGGTTCCGAATCTCCCAGCGTGCCAAGCCTTCCCAGCCAGGTAACCCTCAAGGGGGCGGGGCACAGACCCAAAGCTCTAACAGTTCCCTCTCCATTTCTTCTTCCCGTACTTCATCAGCCGAGAAGAGCGCGGGGCATCTTTCAGTCTCGTGTACACTTTTCCCTGTGGGCCCCTTCCTCTCCAGCCCATGGCACCTTCAGACCAAGCCGTGGTGCTTCTGTGCAGCTCCAGACGGATGTAGCTTCAGGGACCACATTGCTTTGAGGTGCTGGGACCTCAGGTAGCATGTCCATCTTGCAATGAGGACATAAGCTTAAAAATCTAATAAAGACACAAGCTTTCTATATCAGCCCCCTCCTCTGAAAACGACCAGACATTCATTTTAAGAATCTCTAGAGTCTAAGAATTAAGAGTCTTCAATTAGCAAATGGCTGACTAAATAGTTAGTAATGATCTGAGCTACATGAAAGGGAATTGTGCTCTTCCCTGGCTCTCTGATGTCCAGGTGTGGCCCTTGCCTGGAAGGTGGGCAGAGGTTCTCAAAAGGTTCTCTACCTCGGTTCTCTTCCTCGCTGTCATTATGCCGCAGAACTCTCCATTACCCTGTGTTCTGAGCCCCATCGTCCAGGCCGAGGGCGACCCAGGGCAAGAGGAGGCCATTACTGTCATCCAGTCTGTTTTCCGGGCACACCTGGCACGGGCCAGGCTCAGGTAAGTCCGACTGGCAGGCCCACCCCTGCTCTGTATCACAGGAAATGCTGGACACACACTGCAGGAGGCTGCCCATCCAGAACGTCAGCCCATAGCGCCCAGCTGATGGCTCTGGGAGCCAGGACCTTGGCGTGTTCCAGAGCGAAAGTTACTCCTCTGAAAAACTGTGCGGGTGGAGTGGGCCACGATTTCTGGTCCTCAGGAACAGGGCTGTCTAGAACTGTTTCCTCTTCCTGGGAGAAAACAAACGGGGTTGGACACTGTGAGGTCCTGGAAACCGTCAGTTTATAGACAGCTGCTGGCTTGTCCTTATGCGGTACTCCTTTTTAAAGAAAAATGTGACGTGACCCCAGTGTTCAGGAAGATGTGGCTGTTGTCAGAAGCCTTCCTGCAGCAATACACACTCACTCTAAATAGCGCCGTTCCTAGTAGATTGGCTGGGGTGTTGGTCAGGGCTCTCTATTTAAGTCAAATTGGGCAGAGAGGAATTGACAGTGAGACTCAGAGGACGCCCCTAGGGCCTGGGGCAGCTTGGGGCCGGGAGTGGGCCGGAGCCAGGGCCTGCTGCTCTCGGAAGCTCAGGCTTCCCTTCTCTGTCTCCCCACTTGCTTTGCTCTGCACGCCAGGCTCATTCTGCTCTCTCACCACAGACTGCTCTGTTTCTCAGTCTACATGGCAGAAAAGAGCAGCCACCCATTGCTTTTAAGTCTTCAATTTCTCTCTGCAAAACGAGAGCCAAACCGAGTCAGAATCTCGGGGTCCTGATTCCGTATGACCTGGGATGGGCCCGGCGCTCAGCATAGGTCGAGGGTCCATCCCTGGTGCAGTCAGCCCAGCCAGAAAGTGGAGAGCTGCACGGCTTGTGACCACCAGGCATGGGGCCCCGAGAGACAGTGGGGAGAGGAAGGCCTCTGAGGCCGTGTGCCCCGCAGAGACTGGCAGAACACACACCTGAGGCCCCTTCTCTATCAGCCTGTCTCAGGACCTGGGCTCGCCTGGTGCGGGCTGGCCATGCTGGTTGCTTCTATCTGAGCAGCTGCCTCTAACACACAGTGAGCCAGCTATAGGCCTCAGACACATCTGCATTCTTGAAAGTCAGAATCAGTTGGTTTCTCTCTCTCTTCCAGTGCTACCAGTCAAAGAGCTCCCACTGCAGCGTCGACTCAGAGGAGATCTGCTTTGGCTGCACACAGCGAACCTTCCTCTCCACCCAGCCCTGCAGCTTCTCTGGGTAATTTCACTACATTTCAAATTTTCAGGCAAGGGGCAGCTGGTTCTCTGAGGTTTAAGCCAAAAGAGCTGCCATCGCCCCGGAAGCTTAGGATATGTGAGCACGTGTAAGGGGGGCTTGTGCCACCTGTGGCCACCTGTAAACTAAGTAATGCCTTCAGCCGGGAGGCACTTCGACCAAGCCTCCCTGTCACAGCTTCCCTTGTCACTCGGGTTGTAGGGGAGAGAGACAAGTCCCAAGGGGCTCCCTGCAGCTCGACAGGCTGGGGACACTTCCAGTGTCAGTGACATCAGGGTATTTCCACAGTTACCTGCAGGCCACACAGTTGGAGCTTCATGGCTTCTGTGTCTGATTTTTATTCTCAGCTCTAACTGGAGCTAGGTGGTTTCCCTCCCTTGGGCCAGTATTTCTCCTGTTTATTGGTTTTAAGTAAAACTTGGCTTGTATTTCCTTTTCTGCTCCATTAAGGTCCAAAAGCAGTCAGCGGAGAAATCCTTGGAACTGGCAGGGGTGCCACACCCCAGTTGTGAGGCCTGGTCCCTGCTCTGCCTGACTCCTGACATGGGGTCCCGGGCAGGGCCCAGCCGTCTCTGGGCCTCCTCATGTGGAGGAGATGGAGAATTGGGCGAGACAGCTTGAAGGTTTCTTTCAGTCCCCAAATCTATGATTCTATGACTGTACTTCAGATCCTCTCTACCTTCTACTGTAGGAACTGTAGGAAGTGAGGAACTTTTATCTGCAGTTGCTTATTCTGACTATTACTATAATGCTGAAGATGAGCCAGAGGGTAGTGTTCTGAGATTTGAGACTGTCACTGGACTAAGAAGTGTAGTCTTGAGGTCATATTTATGAACGTGGCACGCAGGGTGCTGTTACCACACTCAGCTCGTGTGGGAGTGTTTCCAGTGAAGGACTATTCTGTACTGAGTTCTTAGGTCGAAAAGGTGGAATCAGAGAGAGTGCAGGTAGGATAGGAATGTGCTTCATATCAAGGAAGAATTACAAAAGGAAGCAGTTTTTCTGAATCAGAACACATTAGGGTAGAAAGACGGGTGGATGTGACAAGTCCTGCCCATATCTGATGCCATCTCTCTGCAGATTGGGTGCTTCTAGCGTGCGTGTCATTGCAGGTCAGGAAGATAGTGAAGCGAGCAGTGGGGAGACCGTGGAGGGACCAGCTACTGAGGATGAAGCACTGAGGCTGTGGGGGCCAGAAGAGCCAGCAGCCCTGCAGCCCTGCTCTGGTGAGTGTGGGAGGCCATGCCCGGGCCACAGCGAGGAGGCACGATGCAGGAAGAAGGAGAGGCACGACTCTGCTCTTATCAGGCCCACTGGCTGAGTCCCTCGGCCTGGTGACCCCTGCCCGTCCAGGGGCTGGCCTGCTGGGGGCTGTCTCTCAGAGCATCTCCTGCACGAGCTAAGGATTTTACACCATGTCCAACCTGGAAGTCACCACGTTCGCAATCGCGTTTTATCCATGTCAGTCATTTTTTCTGGCTGTGTTGGAGCTGGCAAACCTTGAACTTTGATTCTCTCCAAAACCTCCATTTGTAAAGCTCAGCGAACAAAGATGACCAGCACTGGGATTTTAAGGAAAGATGTGCAGGTGTGCAAAGCCTGGAAAGCCAGAGGGGCCGCCCTGGAACCTTTGGGCTCCCCAAAGGCTTCAAATGGTTCTCCAAAAACCCCTCTCCTGCTGATTTCACCAAGCCCTGTGTTTGGTGACCTTTAGATTCTTTGCTCAGGGCTGCAGTGTTTGTTTCAGCTGCCCTCCTCCTCCTGTTAATGTGTGTGACTTCAGAGCAGCCGCTTCGTCCTCCTTTAAAGAGCGTTATCGCAGGACACAGGCCGGCCTTCAGCTTGTATTTACCCAAGGAAGCGGGTCTGTGTGAAAGGTGTAAATCAAACCCTTGTTTGATCTGATTGTGAAAGTGTTTTTAAAGAAAGAAAAAACTGAAGATAACCTTGAAAACTGATGTTTTTAATTTCTTAAGTTTCCACTCTAATATTAACTTTCTTGAAAGTTACAGAAAAAAAGCTGACGCAGTTACGGTGTCTTCAGTGTAGCTGAGTCGTAATTCCTTCCCTTTTGTCTCAAATCGCTGATTGGTTACTTTTTTACTTTTATCCTTTTGAAGCAATATAAGTAAGGCCTTTTTCTGGGGCTGGGGAGCAGGGGCTGCTGGGGTGGGTGGTGGGAACCTGCTGCTCCATCCAAGGTGGCCATTGAGGGTGTGGGTGGTCTGTAGGTGGCGCCCGTTCTAGCGTGGATGACGGGATTTGAGAAACGTAGATGTGTGTGAAGAAAGGAGGGTAAACGGGGCAGTGTCACTGGGTACTGCCCTGTCCTGTGCTGCCTCCCCCACCCGGGGTGGGCCTACAGTCCCAAAGCCGGCATGTTCTCACGAGGAAGCCGGCCCTTGCACATGCAGGTGGCCGCCAGCCTCATCTGCACACCCGCCCGGCCCCAAACTCACACCCGCCCGGCCCCAGACTCCTGGGACACCGCTGTGAGGGTGACTCAGGGAATTCCTACCTCGGACTTGAGCTGCCTCGGTGCTGGCAAATCTTCACCTTTTGCAGGTGTTATGCTTTTTGGAAATGGCCAAAATGCTCCGAGCTGAGCTGGGAGACTGAGGTGGGTGTACCTAGGAAATACTGAGAGTGGCTTTGTGGCATGGGTGATTCTGGAGGTCTGTCCCGTCCCTCACTCCTTTTGAGTGTGACCTTGGGCTTGCCTGCTGGGGAAGAGGTGATGTGTAAGAAGCGGGCCCCAGCCCTGAGCAGAAGTGACCGACCTCCCTCTCTCTGGTTCCTTTCAGCCGAGTCCTCTCTCTCGGGGCTGCAGCCCACAGAGCCTCCACCGTTGGATGACGTCAACTCTGACGACTCCGACGAGATTGTCGTCGCTCCATCTCTGCCAACGAGGAAAAGTGCCCCCCCGCCCTAGGCCCCTGATCTGCCCTCACTTGGTGGTGATGCTCTTCCCGAGGGAGGTTCGAGTGAAGAGGATATACTAACTAAAATGGAAAGTAATTTATCCTGTTAGGAAAAGAGCAGTACCTACTCAGCACCTCAACGTCTTCACCAGTTTTCTCTTTGGTTTTCTGAGTTTGTTTCAGGAATCCTGAATGCCTTTATTTTATCTTTGGGAAGGGCCAGTGGTCACATCGTTCCCTCTTCTCTGCTGCATTTCACGCGGTGGTTTTCAGTGCCAGACAGACACAGCTGCTGGGCATTGAGGGGCCGCCCGGGAGCCCTGCAGAGACACGTTCTCTTATAGCAACTTATGGGCCTGCCTTCGGCCCTGACCTGGGGCGAGCTGCGTATCAGGGGCCAGCACTGACATCACCACCTCCCTCCAAGTCCTTGTCGACAGCTTCTCCAACCAGGATTTGCTCTAATCTCAGCCCAGTAGGTCAAGCTAGAATGCCATGCTGTACCTTTTGGAAGAGTGTGAGATGAGACAGGCCTGCAATGGAGCAGGCCATCTCCCTCATCCCCATGACAAGTGCAGCCGTTTCAAAAGCTAATGAGTCGCTGAAGACATCAGGGTCCCAAAATGAGTTGGTGTTCCTCAGGCTCCTCCCTCCTGCCCCTCACCACACAGACCTTTCCTCTGTCATCTTCTCTACCCCCCAGGTGCTGTCCCCAAGAGCTGCCATTCCTGCGAAGGAGTCTGGTGGGAGTTTGTCACTGGGTAGATTAAGTGTTAAAAAAAATACCGAATTATATAGTCACAGAAGCAGCACCAAGTTTGCTTTCGGAAAGTGCAGCAGGGCAGGCTGTTCCCCCAGCCCAGCTGGGGGTCCCTCCAGGGCAGGAGAGGGAGGAGAGCAGAGAGAACAGGGTCTCAGGGCAGTCCCCAACCCATCTGTGTGCAGGCCCCTCTGCAGGCCGCAGCTCCATGGGACGTGGGGCCCAGCAGAGGCCATGGCCCCATTTGTTTGGCATAGAGTCCCTTTCAGAGGCTCAGTCCTAGAGCTTTGTTTGTTGTGGGATCAGCCATTGCTGGTGGGTAACAACGAGCCTTGGGCTAGGGTGGGATTTCAAGGGCTCCTAGACCCCATGGACCCCAGGTCAGGCGTCTGACTCTCCTCCACGCACCCTGTCAAGACAGACAGTGCGTCTCAGGAGAGAGCTGGCGTTAGAGAGCACTTTCTTAGCCTGAGCTGAGGGTTTACCCCTAGAATCTAGGGATTAGACTGTCCCCACCCAGCCCAACAGAACACCCAGAAACCCCTGCAGTGTGCTGGCCCTGCTGATGTCGAACTGCAGGGAGGTTCCACTAAGACTTGTTTGTCTTCAGGAAGCCCGGGCCCTCCTCACAGTGGTCAGACTTCTGGCTGCAGCACCGGCGAGGCGTGTGGCAGGGAGAGGCTCTGTAGTGGCCACCCGTTGGAGGGTAAGGGGTCTCCCCAGCCCAGCCTCGTCCACCAGAGTCACTGGGACCCGCCTGCCCCTTCCTCCACTTAGGCTCTGTTCATACAGGGGCCCTGGCTTGTTGAGTTTCTTTTTTACTTGGTCTGTGGGCTGCCAGATCAGTTTTCTTTTTTGTCTTCTCCACTGGACTGATTGTAACTTGACTGGACCCGTTGCTGACCCCCGCCTTGTTGCATCCACTGGGTCAGCTCCCTGGTGACCAGACCCATCCTTCCCTGGATGCCGGGCTCAGAGCTGGAGGTCTGCAGGTGCCTGTCTACCCGTGAAGCCCCAGAGGGTGCAGAAGGCCACGCCCGCAGGCCTGCGCTTTCCCGGGGGTGCCCCTCCCGCCCCCCATTCAGAACACGGCCTTTCTGCACTACTCTTTGCTCAGAGGAGCGGGAGCCCGGGAGCTCAGCGTCACAGTGCGGAGGGCGGACAGACCACCACCAGGACGCCCCTGCCTGGCTGGAGGAGGCTCTGCGTGCTGTCCACCAGCCCTGTGCACCCTGACCTGTAGGGGCCTGGCCAGCAACAGAGCTGAGAAGGGCAAGATCAGCCCGTGGACTTGACTTTTCCAAGAAAATGCCCTGAGAATTGTAAATATGTACATTTGTCTGCCTGTGCTCCTTGGGTTGTTGGCCTATTAAAAGCAAACAGTCTTAAGCTACCTCAGGAAACAAGCCCTGGCTTCAGCTGATGTCCGGTGTGCAGCACCCCGCGCCGTGGCTCCGTGACCCCTGGGACACGGCAGATTCGTTCCCTTGAGAAGGCCGGGTGGCCAGGCATGCGTGCAGGGCCCAGCACTCTGGACTGGGGTTCTAGGGCCTCTGGGGCCTGGAGGGCCCGCCTGTCTGTGTGGTGCCACCTTGCCAGACTGGTCACCCTGGTGTGCGTCCCCACACAGAGTCAGGCGGTGGGGAGTAAGGGCGGGGCCAGGTGGAGGCAGGTGGGCCAGTGGGTCGGGGTGGTGGGCGATGGGTGGGGCCTCAAGAGGTAGCAAGACTGATGTCCCTGGGGAGCTGGGAAGGGAAAAGTGATCCAGGAGAAAGGGACCGTGACCTCAGGCGTCAGGTGCCTCAAAGGCACAGGTCGCGACCCTCACTGCAGCACATGCACACACTTGGAACTTCACAGTAGCAAAACCACTTGCTCTTAGAGGCTGTGTGGGTAGTCCAGCTCCCAAAGAGCACACCCTTTCTCCATCCCAAATACCCTTGAACTAGCAGCAACAGAGTCGTGAAACATCCCGGCCACGCTGGGCTGAGCTGTGGGTCGGCAGCACGCCTGTTGACCTGGTGCTGCTGGAGTGGCCTCTGTGAGGCAGAGCTTGTGAGCTGCAGGTGCTCTGGACCAGGCGGATGGTCTGGGCTGCTGCCGCCCACTGCCCCTCCAGAGGAGGTGCTGTCCAGCAGGCTCCGGGGCCCTCCCCGGGATGTAAGGGAGGCTGACCTGGCCTGGCCATCAGTCCTCCATGGGATACTGTTCCTGCCACCCAGGACGGGGGAGAGAGACCCCAGGCTTGGGAGCCAGGGGCAGACCGTTCTATCGCCTGTCCGAAGGTGCCGGGCCATCTCTGCAGCCTTAAGTTCACGTCTGCCCACCAGACGCGGGCTGAGGAAGAAGTGCAGGAGGGGGCGGGTGCTGGAGGCACACCACGGGGCTGGGACCAGAAAGCTGCCCAGACACTCGCAAAAAGAGGCTGGGGCCCAAGCCCTAGACAGATGTGAGGGGGTGTGTGCATGGGGTGGACCAGGTGATGGTGATTTTCAGGGAGCTCTGCTGTGGGTTTCTGTGGGGAGTGTGATCCCGGAGAGAGGGGTGCGTGGCTGGGAGACGTCCCCACCAGGGAGGAGGGGCAGAGGGCCCAGAGAGGAGGACAGCCAGGGCCACAGTGCACCAGGCCTCCTGATGGGTGGCATGCCCGGGGACCAGTGCTCAGCTGACCAGACACAGTAGCTTGATGCATTAGGGGGGTTGGTTTGCTCGTTCATCTGTGTATTAAGGAGGGACCCTGGAAAATAGATGAATGAATGGACCTGATGGCACTCACTGGCTGTCCTCTGATGTCTGTTTTGTCTCCTGACAAGGGAAGTGAGGGCTGTGCTCTCGGCCCTTCAGACAGACCGGAAACCTTCATCCTGGCAAAAAGACCAATTGCATTAGGAAAAGATAGACCAACCCAGCTCAGATCCACCCAGATAAGCACAGCAGAGCTCTGCTTCGATTTAAGAAATAAGTGCCCTCTGCAGGAAGCACCACTAGCTTTCAAGATCTGAATATGATGTAAATTCTCTCATAACCCAAATCCATAACCCTCCTTTGGTTTTGGAAGCACTGTTGCTCTCGTGTGGCTCAGAGATGCTCTGAGGACCAGAGAGTGGACACACAAACCTGCCGGGATCGTGCTGGGTACTTCAGGCTCCACCTCGCCAAGTTCCCAAGGGCCTGTTGGCAGCTGATCCCGGCTGGTAGGCATCCATGCAAGTGCAAGAAATCACATCTGGAAGTTGCAATGGGAAACCACCAGGCGGCTCAGGAGAGGAAGACGCCTGGTCCCGGGCATTTTTATTTAGAATTATTCTAGCCTTACACATAGTTCATCCATGAATCTTGTGGAAGGGCTGAGGTTTTCACTCCGTGCTATTCATTATCGGCCTCTGTAAGTAAACATTGTTTTCCAGGGTATTTGTCTTGACGGCCCTGTCAACCTGTCACTTTTCATTACCTCCAGGTGTGCTATTGCTGCGGCTCAGGCTGCACAAACACTTCAGTGGATCTGCTCCAGAAACCCCACTTTTCTGGGCTTATGGCATTTTTCTGGGTCCTACCAAAGGCTCAGGAGTTTAGAGCCGGCTGAAGGGAAGGGACCCCACAGCCAGCTCCGTGCCACGTGTGAATTCTGATGCTTCTGTTGACGCTCCGTCCCTCTTCGAATTTCTCTTTTCGTGAGTGAGGACTTGAGCATCAAGAAACAAAAATGTGCATGGAGGGGGGAGGTATTTCCTCAAATTCTATTTAATTTTTGTTTTAGGAGCAGGAAAGGAATAATTTACTTAGGAATCAAACAGATGCCAGTGACAAAAAAAAAAGTTGATTTCTGGGAAAATCCTGTTTTCCAATATTTTGTTGCACAGAACAAGGTGCGTCCGTGGCTTTGTCTGCATGCAGCTGCTGGCTCGGGCCCTTATCTTGGGTGGAATCTGTCTGAAGCCACCACTGTGATTTGTTGGTTGGCCCCCGCGTTTCCCCGAGCCCATCTTCACACCCCTGCACCCATCGCCGTGTGTCTTGTTGGCAAACGGTTCGCATGGAAGACTTCATGCTCTGCACAGGAGCTGGTTGGGCCTTGAGGAGTCTGACAATGGAGAGCAAGGAGCACGTGAGACTCCTTAAAGACAGGTGACTGAGAGTTACCCCCAGGTCCTTGCCAAGATGACTTTAAATATGAGATTCCTCAAAGTCGCTGAGGAATATAGGAAAAAAATAGTCGGAATCCGAATCCCTGGTTCCTTTCAGCACTGCTGTTGGGTTCAGAATACGAATGATGGGGATGA